CAGTAAAATGTTAAATTATGCAAGAGATTTGGCCTTTTGATGAGCTTGGTAAAGGCGATTTTAGAGCTGCTCATGTTATATTCCCAGAAACTGAGAGTGCAAACCTAGCTGAACGACTCTGCCTCACAACTGAAGACAACACATTGGTCCCAAAGCAAGTGACTAAAGAGCCAAAGTCTAAGAGACCATTTTGATTGGAAGGTTAGGAAAGCTCCATTTTGTTTTTCAAAAAAATATATATATTGATTATATATAAATATATATATATATGATAGTATATACTATATATGCAGTATAGAATAGACTTTCCTGATATATAAATGTGAGATTAAATAATATCCTGTATACTGAAAAATGTCTCATATCTGTAACTTTTAATCACTGGGAGATGAAATCTTTTGAAAGCTTTCTAGCTCTCCTATTCTGATCCAGTTACCCCACGGCAGCCTGAGTAGCTGAACATCTGTCCTCTGCACAAATCCCATGATCTCAGTTTCTTCAACCAAAACTGCAGGGCAGTTTTTCTTCATTTCAAAAGATGAAATGGGATCAGTAATTCACTCTGCAGCCTCAGAATGGGTGAACTGGATGCAACCCATCACCTGTGACTCTTACCACCTCCTCTTCTGCATAGATCCCTGAGCCTTGAGGGGATAGGTTTGATAAGGACATCCCATTTAGATCTGAGTGCTCCAAAGCTCTCACTTACAGCACATTACTCATTTTATCTTAATTCTCATATCCTGCAAGAAGAAGCTTCTCTGATGAGGGCTGAGTGGGGCACTGATTTATGGCATGTCATTGGGAGTCATTTAATTGCTACGCTCTTTTAGCAAAATAATAGTAATAGGTTTTATCGTAGGCTCATTACCTACCACATCTCAGGTTCTTGGCTCCTTTAGCAGAGTCATGTATGGATTCCATTTGGGGGAGTGAGCCTTAGATCCAATCAAACAGGACTGATGCACATATGACTTCACAGAGACTGTGGCAGCATGCACAAGACCTGAACTGCTTTAAGCCCGCACAGGGTCTCAGTACTGGGAAGGAAGTGAACATGGTGTCCTACCCCTAACTAAGAAGCTATGTGCAATTAATATGTGCTGGCAAAGGAGAAACCATTTTCCTCCAGTGAAGTGACACTGGGTATATGAACCACACAAAAACAAACTCTATGGTTTTGTGTTTTGTGGTTTTTGAGGAAAGGCGGTAATCTGAGAGGAGTTGGGGGGCAAAACCATGATCAAAATATATTGTATGAGGAATAAATTAAGGAAAAAAAGAAAGGGGTTCATTCAAAATAAATCAGGTCCATGAAGATACCAGAATATTAAGGTGCATGGTAAGAAAAGAAAAATGCTTAATTTGAAAACTACTCAATTTAAAATTTTAAAAAAGAAATAAAAGTTTGTTGTTGCACAGTAGTACATAATACCAACCCCAGAAAGTCACACAATACAGCCATTTTTGCAGTTTATAATATACTGCAAGGATTTTGAAATGATTTGTCATAATAAAAGAGAAGAAAAATTTGAGGGTATTTTTTACATGCATGTGTTAGAACAAGAGGGGAAAACCTCTGTAAGCTAGCTAAAACTAAGTGTGAGCATGGAGAAATGACATCATCATTAAGTAATTTGACATTTGACCAAATCCATGCTCTCTAATCATCCCCACTAATAAAGTCAGAACTGTGATATTTAGACATGCCCCACCTCCCTGCTGGAGACAGGCTGAGGCTCCATGACTGAACTTTTATCTCTTGGCAAGGAAGGGCAGGCAAAGATAACCCACATATGCCCTCTCTTTCTATCTCAATCTGTGTCTAAGGAACCATGCTGTTCAAGGTAAGTTACATATTTACATCGGTCTTAATATTTATAAAAGCAGAGTAGTGTTGGTCCTTTGATTCCATAACTCATTCTCAGTTCTATGAGGCTTATACAAAGGTCAACTGTTATAATTTTATTTGATGATGTATTTAAACATTTTTATTGAGAGCTTGGCTGCTGATATATAGACATTCTTTTCCTAAAACCCTTATGCATGCTAAAAAAGAAAAAGAAAAAAAACCTGGACCGTAGCAATAGGATTTCAAAGCTTAGAAAGATATGAGAGACCATCCAGTATCTCTACTTTTGCAAATATAGAAATTAAGACTCGGAAAGTAGGAGACAAACTATGCTTACTAAGCAATGTTGCAGGGTAAGAAAGGAGATTGTAAAGTCAGAAATCCAGGACAGCAGCATTGGAATCAACCCATAGATTTTTAAGTGTGAAATATTAAAAAAAAAAAAGTACTGTGCCCCCAACAGGAGTTTTTGACATATCTAAACTTAACTAATCTGTTTGTGAACTTGAGTTATTCGTCTGAAAAACTGGGACGAGAAGCTTTCAGGGTGACTGGAAGATACAAAGATTGTATATTAAAACGCTTTAAAAAATAGGTTAGTTGCTATTTTAACTTACTAGCAGAGGTTTTTAAATCCCAGATCTTGCTCTTTCTAACAGGATGTGAGATTCAAGTGAGCTGTAAGTATATCCATGCTTTTAAAAAGCCTTTAGTGAAAAATCTCCTTCATCGTAGCTTTATTCTTCAGCAGTGTTATAGTTAGGCCTAGATGATTAATCCATGATTCCTCAACATTAAATTCAAGATGCTACAAGAGACCCAAGGCAAAGAATTCAGGAAATGTCATATTCTGTGGCTTTGGACTTGAAAGGCAGAGTTTATGAATATACAAAAGGATTCTAGAAAGGTCTGTAGTAAGTTAATTTGCTTATACTAGCTCATCTATACTTTCTTTGCCACACTTAATAAATGATGACTGTTAATAACTCCAAAGACTGGACACTGCCCAGGAAACCTCTTTCCTAAAAATTGCATGTGAAAGAATTGCTAAAGGCACAGAGGCGGGAGCTTAGTGAAATGACATGGATAACTTGAAGGTGACGGTTTAGTCCCTCCTAAGTGTTAGGTAGATAAAGTGTTAAGACCACTGACTTATTTCTTTTCATTTTTCATAGTTCACATTCAGGATGTATAAGTTGGAGGAAAAGCTGAGTGTAGGATTTAATACTATCTTAAGTGAGAGAAGTATTGAGGACCAAAGAACCGACTGATTGCGATGGACACTTTGAATTTGTAATTTTAAATGTCATGTGTAATTTTTTTCCTCAATAAGTTGTACATCTTAATTTTATTTGCACAAAAATGACTCTATCCTATTTTTTTTTAAAACAAGTTTCTCAATCTTTATGTGGGAAACCAAAAAAGGTTTCATAAAATTAAATACTTATTATCAAAGAGGAAGCTTTCTTACTTAATGGGTTCCAAACTATCTGTAAGTATTTGGAAAGGTGAAACATCAATGCCTCTTTTAAGTTCTGAAATTGCAGCAGCCATATTAAGGTCTGTACTGTAGAAAGAAGCAGTTTTCTACAGGTAGCTAATATTTTAAGGCAGATTACAAACCATCGCATCATACCTATTGACAGAGATAGACTGCAGTTGCTTAAACTTAATCTCTGCATTCTGGTGATCTCAAATCTCTTGAGTGTCACAGTATGGTTTACAATCCAGTTACATCACAATCCCTCAATAGAATTACAGCCTCGTCACTAATCTCTCCCTATCAGGTATCCTGTGAGGAAGGAAGTTGCAAGGCCCCACTGGAAAGCAGCAAAGACATGAATGATTGCATTCAGTCTCTTTCCACAACAATATCTGTAAGTCTGGAAGTGATAAATGGCACCCAAGTTATAAATGAGCAACAGGGTCAGTAGCACCAAGGAGCCAAGAGTTCAAAGAAAAGGCACAATCCTGATGGGTTCAAGAAAAGGCCACACACTGCTGGTGTGTATCATTGCAGATAAATCCTCCAAGATGGCTTGTTGCAATTACAAAACAGAATTAGAAAAGGCTGTTATTAAAGAGCCAAGATTTCTGTCCAGGAATTGAACAAAGAACATTGATTAGCACAAAAAAAACATTCTTTTCCCCCCAAAAAAAAAAAAGTCCCGACCTGTCAAGAATCCTGGTGGAAAATATCTTCAAACTGTTAAATGATTCATTGACACTAAAAGACAAGGAACTGGATAATGGGTTTATTTTCTTGCTTTTCTCTTTTTATTCTCATAAATACACCCCTAAAAAGCCTTGGAAGAGATGAGTTTGGGGTGGGTTGTGGGTGAGAGAAAGAGAGAGGGGAGCGGGACCTGTGGTTGATACATAAAATGAATAGAACATTTCTTAATTTAAATAAATAAATAAATAAATAGAACATCTAAAGTGAAATTTGATCAAAGAAGATTCTATTTGTTTATAACATTTCAAAAAAAGAGTTCAGGAGAGACACAATTAAATAGCTCCTCCAGGGCCATTTACACTGCATCTTTGTTCTACACAAAACTTCCTTGGGTGAATGAAACACAATTAAAATATGTTCTGCACTTATCCATGAAACTATACAACTTCTCTAACATATCTCTTAAAAACCCGCACAGAGTGCTATAATGAAATCGTCTGTGAAATCTCAATTACAGGTTACACGGTGCACATCGTAAAATACTGAGAACCCTATCCATGTGTTGTCTCTGGTAACGGGGAAACTGGGATTTAGATGATTGAACCCCTGATGCCTACTGCTATTTTTTTTTTTTTTTGGCCAGGAACTGGTTTTTTCTCAGACAAATAGCCACTGTTAACCTTCTATCTGGCTTGCTCATTTGGATAGAATTTCTCTTCTCGGGCTCGATTGCTGTATGTGTTTGCACAGGTTTCAATGTCTGTTTTTACTTGACATTTTACTGGTTCATGAAGTTCCCTTGCATCATCCTGACATTTTCTGTTAGAGTCATGGTGGAAAACTGGATTAGCAGATGGGAAGGGACAGCCATTGCAGTTTTGATTAGTCTTCAGACAGAGAGACCTTACTTACACCAAAGAACTGTAAGAGAGGTAAGAGTGCACCTTGCTTCTTCTGTTCTATTCCTTCAACAGGGCGGTCACTATCCTTTCACAGCCATGGAGGTCACCTTCTTACTCTGGAACAGCCATTCAGAAGGATTAAAAAATAATGCACATTTCTCCCTGACTGATAAAATTTAAGGTAATGATTTTCCCTTAAACAATGTGGAATATGAAGTGGTTTTAGAGAAAACTGCACATAAAATATACCAATCAAAATTTAACATATATTTTACATTCTTTTTTACTGTTTTTATTTTTATACATTTTAATTAAAATATATCATATATTCCCTTTCTTTCTCACCTTCCAGAACCCCTTTTCCCGAGTTCTCTCCCTCAAATTCTTTCTATATCCTCCCCCCACTCTCAAAGTGATGGCTTCATCTTCCCCAATTATAATTGCTAGCTATACATGTGCATATGTATAAATATATAACTATAACCTATTGAGCACATCTTTGTTAACTATTATATATGATTTTAGGGATGACTATTTTGCTTTGGGTAACCAAATTGGGAGTGGGGATTCAACCCTGTGATAGGTTCTCTCTCTCTCTCTCTCTCTCTCTCTCTCTCTCTCTCTCTCTCTCTCTCTCTCTCAACAGTCAATAGTTGCTGGTAGTTCTTTGTCTAAGGGTGGGACTCTAAAATTCCCCCTTCAATGTTAGTATGTCATTGATATTGCTATTGTTCAGAACTTGTTTATACAGACATTTCTAGGAGAGACAGTTTCATAGCAGACTTCCTGGTATTCTGGTTCTTACAGTCTTTCTGACCCCTCTTCTGTGGCATTCCCTGAGTCATAGATGTAGGGGCTGTATCCACTGGGAATTACAACACATGCTGACAAGGTCATTTGGGAAGACCAACATTCATTCACTGTTGGTGAGAATGAATGTTGTTCAATCACTCTGGAAACCATTATGAAGAATACTCAAAAATCTAAAAATATATATTACCATATCACCCAGCAAATATCTACTTGGTATATACCCAAAGGAGTCCATATCCTGTTTCACAGATATTTGCTCAGCAATAGTCACTGCCTAACTATTCACAACAGCCAGGAAATGAAAACAATATAGATAGCCTTGAGAAGATGAATGAATAAGAAAAATGTGGTACATATACACAATAGAATACTATTCAACTGTATAGAAAAGTGCAATTATGAACTTTTTAGATAGATGGACATACCTAGAAAATATATCACTTGAGTTAAATCCAAATGAGAAAGACAAATGTCAGACATTCTCTCTCATTTGTAGTTCTTATCTCTAAATCTTCAGATATTAGTGTATACCATGGAATAACGACAGAAGTCGGGAAATTATAAAGATACCTTTATAATTTGTGGGCAGAGAGGGAGAAGGAGGGAAGAAAGACAAATAACACCAAGCTTGTTTGATAAAGCCTTGAGGATTCATATTATTTTATATTTACCTAAAATTACACAGAATGCATGTAAGTATGTACATACACATGCACAGTCCTTAAAGGAAATTATGCCACTTGGGCTGACAATGTACCCTATAAAAACTGTAGAAAAAAATCCTGTACCAGGTATGAGAAACCCCCTTTGAGCTGCTGGTCAGGTTAGTCCAAAAGACTCCCAAAACAACAGAGGCTCCTGCTGTTGTCCTTCACTGTGTCTCAGAGTTTGAGGTGAGCCCCTTTACTGAAGACACCACACACGTTTTATGTTTTTATACTTTAGAGATTAAAGTTGCCATTGCAAGCTCCTATATATGAGGTACACACACACAAAATATACTCTACTGAAGAGTGACCTTAAACTTCTACAACTGATAATCAAAGAGCACACAGTTCTTGATGGACTATCCAAGAATTACTTGTCTTTAAACTCTATTTTTATACGTGATCATTTTGAGTATGCCTACTTTCCCAGGGTTGGGGGAGAGACTTTAAACATTCAAATTTTACCATAAATGCTCAAAAATTGATTTTCTTCATTGTATTTATATCACCTCCCAGCTGACCTTGAGAGCACCTGTCGGACTGCGCTGAGATCAGGTCCAATGAATCCCTGTAATTCTCTTGCTCTGGAAACACCCTTATTCCATTCCCCTCCAGTTCTGCTTTGAAGGGGCCTCTTTTCCCACTATACCAAATGTGAAATGCATAATGTAATACTTTCACTCAAACATACAATTAAGCTATCTAGAACATAAGAGTGAACTTGGGGATAATGAAAAGCACGGGTGCCCAAGAGTAAGTTACAGAAGTGCAAATATACATGAGACTATGCAGTGTTGTCATCTGGCGGAGGGTAAAGTGAAAATCAAAATGCAGCTACGGAGGAGCTCCATGTACTGTATACTCTAGAGAAAACACCATATTCAAGGGAAATTTTTATACAACATTTCAAAGGGTTTAAACCCTTTCCTTCTGCTAGAATATTCTAATTATGGTGGCTAGAAAAACCAAATGGAAGAGTAATTTATCACCTCTTTGGTAAGAATGGGAACAAAATATGGCAAACCTCAATTTTTTTTCTCTTTTCAGGGCCAGCCACCCAGCTCCCAAATAAATCACACATAGAAACTTTTTCTTACTTATAAATGCGTGGTCTTAGCTTGGCTTATTACTTGCCAGCTTTCCTTAACTTAAATTATCCCATCTACCTTTTGCCTCTGGGATTTTCCAGTTCTCTAACTTCTGTAAATCTTACTCCGTGACTTGCTGTGTAGCTGGGTGACTAACCCCTGATGTCCTCCTTCTTCTCTGGCTCTTTCTTCCTCCCAGATATCTCCTTCTATTTATGGTCTCTGCCTACCAGCCCCACCTATTTCTCTCTCCTGCCTAGATATTGGCCATTCAGCTCTTTTTTAGACGATCAGGTGTTTTAGACAGGCAAAGTAACACAGCTTCACAGAGTTAAACAAATGCAACATAAACAAAATAACACATCTTAATATAATATTCTGCAACACTCAAATTCTCTAGCACCTTATTGTTGCTGGCATCCTTTTTTGTTTTCTGTTTGGACCAGGTCTTTCATGAAGATGCCAAATGTAGAATGAATCATCTTCCCTTTACTCTGCGAAATGCATTTCTTATGCTTATCAGTCTTGTAAACAACACTGTGTACACTCCTGAGCATCTTTCTCTAGGACTTGCAGTTAGTTGCATATCCCTCCTACCTCAAGTGTCACAGCAAAGTGTTTCCTTTAGTCTTTGCTAGCCCAGAAATTCTGGCTTCCACACTTGTGAGGAGAGTCTAACAGAGACATAATTTTAACAAAAGCATCTCTAACTCAACCAAGACTAATATTTCAATGAGAATGTTAAGGGACAAACCTTGCCTGCAATTGGCTGGAGCTGGAAGACTTAAAGCCTATGGTGGATTTTATTGTTGTAATGGTTTTTACTATAATGAAATTTAATGCATTACCAGGAAAAAGCCATGCCCTGTACTTGGGTGCTGCTTATATTTCAAAACACGTTAGCGTGAAGCTACAGCCAGATCTAATAATAGAAATGAACTTACCTAAAGATGCATTGATTTTTATATTAGGTCATGTTGAGAATTTACAAAGAACATCTAGTGTACGAAACAGAAATCCTCTTGAGAATAGCATTGATTGCAAGAAGGTAATATTAGAACAATAGAAATCCTCTTCCTCCAGAATGGTGCACATTCATATAATGGATTTAGCTCACTGAATAGTTTAGAAAAGGTCATCTTTCAGATAAATGATAAATTTGATGAATTTCAGTAGATTTAATCATCCCTTGAGATTTTGTCAAAACAACAATAGAATAAGAAATGGATATGAGAAAAAATCTATCCTACCCATATAATTTGTTTATTAGAAGCACTCGATTTATTCAAGCTTCTGAAATTATATTTTTGTTATCATGTATCTATCTGTTCAACAAGATACCTCACAAAATAAATTCCTATCCCTGTAGTTCACACTATAATCATTTCATAGCTTAAAAATCAGGAAATTCTTAGTCAAAATATATGATTTAAGAAGGGACATAACAGAGAATTGAGATATTTATGTGTATCCTAGAGATCTGACTAAGAGATAAGCAAATAAATGAATTCGTTTTATGCTTACATTATTATACACTTGAAATCAGCTTCCAATTCTACAGTCAACTGTTTTACATTTATATGTTTGTGTATCAGCAAACACTGGTGACAGGTTTTTCAGGTTAGCATGATGAAGTGTGTTTATAGATTTTCATCAGGTTTATTTTGTTCATTTAAACTTTTTAACCTTAATTTCTAGTATATGTTTAATGCGTTTCATTCTGAAATATTATGATAAAACTTTAGCTTCCGTGAAACCCATACTTTTTTTTTTTGAGTTTTTATTTATCTCTAAGGAAGTTCCGGCTCTCTTTGTTCCATTTTCCCTCTATTAAACTGAATTATTGATCCACACCTAATTGAGATACATTTCAAACTAACTGGAAGAAATGGGAGCTTCCAACACAGAGAAATAATGGAACTTTGAGGAGATGGCAACACTAACTTTCATGCTTTCATGATTTGATGACCCCACAACATATAGATGCACTGAATTACACTGTACCACATAAATATGCAAAAATAATATTCATTGTTTAATTTTTAATAATTAGTGTTAAGTTGAAGTCACCATTCTAGATTTTTCATTTTTAAGTAAAACAAGCTTCCATGTTCTTGCAGTAAGATTTTAGGCCTCCCTTTTCCCACTCTGTGGCTCCAGGGCGCCCTCTGGTGTTACTTAGTGATTATTAAAGGGCTCTTATTTTGAGTCTCTCAGTACCCCATCCTCATTTTTATCTAGATCAAGGAAGGTAAACTTGAGTCTATGAAACAAATGTAAGTCTTAGATCTGTATTTTAATTGCATTCAAGCTAAGAATGTGTTTTATATTTTTAGACTTGTTTAATATACGGAAACAAGGAATTGTGGGAAAATGCAGGAAGGAGACATTCAAGATCATATGTGACCCATAATAATGTATCTCACACAGTTACTGTATGACAGAGAGATATTTGCCACCTCCTGAGTCTTGCAACATTTTTTGACCCTGTCATCACTGTTCTGGCCCTAGAATTCTCTCCTAGACCAAGCCTTTGCCCTGGCAGAAAGCTGCTGATTCTTAGTATGAAGGTTATTATAGTACAGGTCCCATGGTCCCCATGCACCTTCATGTCATGTCCGAGGAGCTCCTGCAGCCTGTGATGCTCTCAGATGGCCACACTTGGGATTCTGTTCTCTGTGTTTTTGCCAACATTCAGGAAGAACCAAAGTCAGGCTCTTTCTCCAAATCTCAGCTTGCTTTGTCTTTATTAGGTGAGAGATGCAGAGGACTCAGAAAGAACTCATTGTGAACTCTCATGCAACTCTCTAAGAATAGAAATTGATTCAGTAATGCCTGCTAGCTTGACTTGCAGTTCCTAACTTGTCTCCACTCAAACTAATTATTTTACATATGCTAGTAATTAACCTAATCAAATAAACACATTTCAATAAATATATTAATATGCATTAAAATTAAATTTCTCCCAGTGAAATTGGAGTACTGCTACTAGGGAAACTCCTGAATGATGAAGCCTCTCTTGGAGAATTTACCCTTTCCTCTTTTATTATAGTTAGTTCTCACAGATGAAGCATAGCATGAACCTTCATGAATAAGAAGGACATTGTAGTTTATATTAGACTAATCTATCTACAGATGATATTCAGTTATGTCAGAGACCATGTTCATATGTTATACATTATGACTCTGTATGTTCAACATTTCAGACAAACTATTAAGATACTCTCAAGAGACCTCACAGAGCTAGGAAAATAGTTCAGTCAGTAAAGTGTTAGATGCTCAAGTATGCAGTCCTGAGTTCGATCCTTAGAACACACATATACTAGCAAGTCCACTGGGAGACTCTGCCTCAAAATGTAAAGTGGAGAGTAATTGAAAAAAACACCTGATGTCCACTCCTGGCTTCCAACTACACACACACACACACACACACACACACACACACACACACACACACACCACATACACACACACATGCACACACCAATAAATAAATACCTCTACAAACATTTTGGAAGAATATTTTGTATGCTCATGTAGGAAATATGGAGAATTTCACTTTATTTCAAATTCTAAACTAGGACGACTAAAGGAACTGAGCAATTTCAGTAGTTGACAATCACAAAGCAGAGTTTGGAGTTAAAATCTGGGCAGGTTAATTTCCTGATATGGTAAACATCAAAACATTTCATTAGAAAGTCCTAGAATTCAAGGTCTCTCAGAAGAAAAAGTAAGCAATAGGCCAAGGTCTCCTTTACCTCAGGAATCTGGAATTAACAGATGAGAATTTCAAAACATCCATTAGAAATGGGTGCAAGGACTTACTAATAATAGGCATACCATGAAGGTGTGCAAGAACTTACTAAATAATGGGCACACCATGAAGGTGTGCAAGGACTTACTAAATAATGGGCACACCATGAAGAAGAGAGGAAACTCAGCAGAGAAACAAAAAAGACATGGAGTTGGGATGGAAGCATGTAAGGAGGGAAGATGGAGGAGAAGGAGGGGGGAGATAAGATTCAGTAGATAAGGTTAAAATTCATTGTATACATTTATAAAATTATCAAGAATAAAGTGATTCTTGAATGAGGATGTGCAGTTACAGTTTTACAAGACAATGTGAGTTCTGAAGATGAACAGTGTCAAAAATTACACCTTATAAAGGTATTTAATACCACCAAACTGCATACTATAAAATAGTTAATATGGAAAATGCTATATTTGTATTTTACCACCATTAAAATAATAATTTCAGAAGTTAAAACAGGACCCAATGAGATGGCTAGGAACAAATACTGTCTTGTTGGAAATGAAAATGTTATCAGATTGGAAGTGGCAAGAAGAGATTTAATGAAGATTCAATACATTCCTATGTACTATAATACAAGCACCAATTAGAAAAATTGTCAGCTCGTTTTTGATACACCCAGTTCTAATGTACAACTCAGTCCACACAAATCCTCACACCAGCCAGCAGATCCCCTGGGAGAGATCAGCACAAACCACCATTACTGTGCTCAGGAAGTGACCCTGAGTCTTCAGTCTTAAAGCTTAAAAGAGAGACAATAAGAATTCACCTTCATTGGGGGTAAGTGAAAGTGTGGGGTGATGTTTTGAAAATGTTTTAGCATTATCCAATCAATTTGCAGTTAGCTGCTTACAGAAGTTCACCTACAGGACCCCTCCAACATCTCACCATCTCATCTCAATGTCCTACCTTTGTGAAGAACTGTACTGTAACAGGCCCTGTGGAAGGTCCCTGCTAGAGATACAAAGGTGATGAGACACCATCATAACCTCAAAAAGAAGTTCAACTCTAGGTAAGTTGCTTTGATGTACATGCATATGTAAAAGACAATTAGACTATAAATAACATGCTAGGCATGATGGCACATGTACAATCCAAGAACAGTGGGACTGCCAATTCAAGGTTGGCCTGACCTCAGAGTGAGCTGCAGGTCAGCTAGAGCAACGTAGTAAATCCTGTCTGGTTAAAGTTTAGAATGGAGGAGCCCTGAATGCGTGGATTGTGCTGTTGTTCCAAGGAGCCAAAGGTGTAGAATATATCCCTGTAAGCTGTTGGGAAGTGAGGTCCTGGGGACTCCAAAATATCACAGGCTATTGCCAGTGTTCTTGATTGCTCACCAGAACAAGAATGGAAGACCTTATTGCTGAAGACACTACCCACTTGGGTTGCATGACATTGGGAAATCAATCTGGATCTGACTTGGAAGTTGCCTCTAGGGTGACCAGCATTCATAGAACCCAAAGATGCTACTCAAGCTGCAGGGAGAGTCTTACCACAGCTGTGAGCTACAATAATGGCCTCCTAGCAAGACATAACCACTGGTGCAATATTGGCATGACTACATATGAGGTAACCAGCTTCTATGGTGGGTTCTGAGACCTGTTTCCCTGAAGAGAGCTCATGCCAGCACTGTAAATCTGGGCAAGAGCTAGTGGTTGAGGCGATCATGCCCCTGTGAAAGAACTGTCTTGATAAATGGGCATTGTCTCAGACTACCTTCTCAATGTTTGTCTTTGTACTTACTGACTAATGCTGTCCTCAGTCTTCATCAGCGTCTATTTGTCGTAGGCAGCAATTAACACAGAGACTCACAACTGGACGATGTATGGAAAATAAGTAACTGGAATACTCAGTCCTCAGTGGGAGATTTATATCACACAACCCTCCTCCAAAGCTCAGGGAACATTGTAGAAGAGGGGAGAGAAATGTAATTACAGGGTCAGGAGTCAAGGAGTGCCGTGAACAGTGTCTTCTACACACGAGAGGCCCTGTACTCAAAAAGTCACTGAAGCGGTGCATACTTGCACTAGATCTGTGCAAGATTGGCCCATCACTATCATCATGCATGATGGAGGGGCTCATGGGGCCCTCTCCCTTGCTGAGAACCTAATGGGTCCAATTTTTTTTTAAAAAAAAAAAAAGGAATCAAGGTAGGAAAGCAATTTCATCAGAAGTGGCGAGGGAGAGTAATGTTGGTTAAAATGGCACTAATGTGCTTGTATAAATGGTAAAAATGACTGATATCTCTAGAAGACAGCACATGCTCAGCAAATTTCTCTTCAAATAACTGCAATAAAGTAACAATTTCTGATCTAGGCTTCTGGAGGACTACAAGTCATAAGTGAGATTTTGAGCGCATTGGACAGTAACTTCCACATCCCACTGTTAGGAGACACCTGAGTGGGTATGTGTCTTCCCAGGGGGTACAAACAGAAGCAGAGCATCCCCATGCAGAAGAGATGCATAGAGTCTCAGGAATACTTTCTTGGTGCCTTAGCAAATATTTCCACTCATTTATCCTCATGAGGGTGTGCTTTGTCTAATAAACTCAAACCTAATTGAAAAACTGATAGATGCTATTCATTCAGGGTTCAGGAACAAGGCATGATCTGAAATTCAAGGAAAAATGAACAAATTTTTCTCTTTGTATTATGATTGTGTGTCATACACTTATTTTTCTCAAACATACACCTTTGAAATTGAATCTTAAAAGGGATAAAATCAAGGTATAACAGACTTTTTTCTTTCACTAGCATATTCTTTTAGACACTATAGTCATTCACACACCATGCTTTTCAATGTGCTTATGTATGTATAGGAAACTTGTGTGCTACACACAGTCAAGCTTTGCCTCTATATGAGAAAAGGCTAAAAACAATGAAGAAGTCTACAAATTGAAATATTCAGTGGAAACTTGCATTCAAATTATCATTCAATTATGAAAAAGAAAATGGAATACCCTAAAATCGTTGACTTTCAAATTTTTATCCAGTCAGTCATGTAACTTTCTGTTTTTCTACTAAACCTCTCAAATAAGGAAATTGGACTCCCTGGGAACTGGGCAGCCTCACTGGCCAGGGAAGCAGGAAGGCAGCCTTCAGACCCTTACTCTTCCTTCTACCCTTACTCTTCCTTCTCTCCTCCAAATCCAATCCTCAAGCCTCATCCCCAGCTCTGAAACATACCACCTGCTGAAGCCTCTTCTTCCTCTCTCTCCCATCTCCAGCAAATCATGCAGATCTTCTCCTACAGCCTCCCTCACCACCCCACCTCTTTTCCTCAGCCTCTACCTTCATGCCTCAGCATAATAAAGGCAATTTACAAGCCCGTAGCTAAGGTCAACTCCAGTGGAGAGAAAAACCAAGGCATTTCCACTAAAATCAGGAGCAAGACAAGGTTGTCCACTCTCTAAAAATCTAGTTAATACAGTAATTTAAGTCTTAGCTAGAGCAATAAGTTCAGCTGAGATTCATTCTGGAAGAAGACTCAGAGGCTTCCAGTTTGAGAGAAAAGGATCAGCTGAGAATTGGCAAGGGAGGAAGCTGTGGCTTGCTCTGCTTCTCTGATCTTTCAGCGTTCACCCCAATACCTGGCTCCAGGTTTATTTTTATTAATAAGACCTTTGAAGATTCGTGCTACGGCTGGTCAAACCAGATGGCTACATGTAAAAGAATGCAAATAGATCCACATTTACCATCCTTCATAAAACTCAAGCCCAAATGGCTCAAAGACCTAAACAGAAGGTCAGATACATTGAATCTGATACGAGAAAAAACAGCGAATAGTCTAGAACTCATTAGCACCAGAAAAGACTTTCTGAACAGAACACAGATAGCATGGGCACTAAGGACAACAATTAATAAATGGTAGCTCATGAGACTACAAAGCTTCTATATGTCAAAGGACACATTTGGGCAATGTGGCAGGCTACTAATGGGGAAATATTTTTACCAACTGCACATGCAATAGTTGGCTAATATCCAAAATATATAGATAACTCAAAAAAAACTGGACATCAAGGAAACAAATAACCCAATTAAAAATTGATGTACAGATCTAAACAGAACTCTCAAAACAGAAAGCTTAAATGGCTTAGAAAAAAACTTAAAAGAAAATTCAAGAGCCAGACATAAAAAGCACTATTCTTGGCAAGGTACTTCTAGACTTTCCTTTCACTCTCTCTAGAGTATTTCATTCTTCCTTGTATGCGAGAAAGGAAAGGACATGTAGCATGAATCTTAAAAGTTCTTATTAATAAAATCAAACCCGAGGCCAGTTATTGGGGTCCATGCTGGTAGATCAGAGAGACAGAACAAGCCACAGCTATCTCACCTTGCCAGTTCCTCTGCTGGTCCTGTTTCCTCCGACTAGAAGCTTCTGTGTCCTCATCCCAATGGCTCTCAGCTGAACTGCTGCTTAAAAGCCTGAATGCTTAACCAACCACATGTTTAACCAGCCAAATACTTAACCAGCCAAATGCCTCTAGTTTCTGGTCCTCACGCCTTATATATCTTTCTGCTTTCTACCACCACTTCCTGGGATTAAGGGCTGGCTTTCTGGGATTAAAGGCGTGTGTCACCATGCTTGGCTATTCACAATGTGGCCTTGAACTCACAGAGATCCAGAGGGATTTCTATCTCTGGAATGCTAGGATTAAAGGTGTGAGTGCCACAATTTTCTAGCCTGTGTATCTAGTGGCTGTCTGTTCTCTGACCCCAGATAAATTTATTAGAGTACACAATATTTTGGTGAACACAATACCACCACAAGGACACACACAGGATGTCAGGGTATTAAATCTCCATATTTATGAAATTTTTCCAGAAGAAAAATTACCAGATACATTGATTTCTAATGTCTAGTTCTGACTGTTACTTGAGTAATGTTAAATGACAATATTAAAATGAGCCAAAAGGCTTTCACTATCCATTGGCGCTAAGAGATACAAACCCCCAAGAACAACAACAATAATAGTAATACTACTACTAATAAAGTGATTTAGATTAAAAATGTTTTTTATTGGACTTACCAACAGTAGTAATAGCAACATTAAAGTCTTGAAGACTTAACTACAAAGAACACAGTCTCTTCAGTAATGACTGCAAGGTCACATCACATCAGTGAACCAGAGAACCAATTTAGTCACACATAATACATACTCATATGTATGTTTTGGGGGGACACTGAATTATATGTAGAATAAGTGGCCAGATTTTCAAAACTAGATAAATATTCTAGAGTCACAGATCCAATTAACTTGATACATTACAATCATAAGAAACACTATATCAAGCTATGTCTTAATCAAACTTTTTTGAATTAGCAATAAAAATGTTTTAAAGCAGGCAGAGGGAAAACAAATTATATCACATTCAGAGGGGCAAAGTTAATTTATATTTCAGAATGAATTTAACAGAGAAGTCAGTGAGCAAACATCTTTAGATGCTCAAAGATCAAGTGTTCTGGCCAAAATAAAGCCAGAGACAAATAAAGACATCCTAGATATATAAACTGATAGGTAGATAGATAGATAGATAGATAGATAGATAGATAGATAGATAGATAGATAGATAGATATACATACTTAGTACAGCAAACATCTACCAGTTTTATAGTTTCAACTATTTTCTCCTACTTCTTAAAGTCACCCTTTAACTTTTCTGTGCAGAAACCTTTAGCTTCAAATATTTCCACTGATACGGTTTTCATTTTTATTGCCTATGCTTTTGGTGTCATATCTAAAAAACTCTATGCAGAGGTTAGGGATGTTAATCCTTGTACTCTATTTTAGGTGAAAACACAAACTGCATTCCTAGTCTTTGAACATAATTCACTTTAGAAAACTGACAATATATTCATCCATCTCTTCAAATTAAAATGTTGTGGCCCTATCAGAAGATTTTCATAGATCTATCTCCCATGTGCTAGCTATTTCTCTCTCCATTGCCCTTCAGGTCTTATCCATGTGCACATGATGTCACTGGCCCCTCTTATAAGAGACAACTAGTAATTCTTCATTAATCGGCTTAAATATTGCTGATCCATCAGTCCATAGCATTCTACACATATACTGTAGCAAAACAGCTCTGTGCATAAAGGTGTATCCTGTGGTCACTTACAGGTTATAGAGCCTACCTCTTCCCTACTTGAAACCTTTTGTCAATCGCCGATGTGACAACACAGGCTATTCAATAAAACAGCCTCATTTGATTGGGTCCCCGGGGAAAAACTGGAAACATAATGAGATGATTGGTCCTCCATGTATTTTAAAAATTAAATCATTGCTTTTTCTCACCTTTTTGCTCTATTGTGGCTATCTGCCCCACTAGTCATGATTGTTGTTGCATTAATTGTCTTTGACAAAACATCAATAATATGTAGCCAAAAGCATATCACTCTAAATCTGTATGCTGATACAAAAAAAAAGGTTGCTAAAAAGGGTATTTATGTATGTACAAACATAAAAATACAGTCTTCGGAGTCTGTTTTTGTTACTTGAGTGTATATGGTTTAGGGTTGACCATTTGGTGTTGGACCACCAATAAGGGAGCTCATCCCTGGGAGAGGCTAATTCGCCCTTTCCCAGTAGTCATTGGTTCTTGTCTCAAAACTGACTCATCAGGCTGTATTTATATATTTGTGTATATACACGTATTTGGGTATGTACATACCAATAATAATCAAAGAAAAAAAAGAAGCTATCAATTTCAGAGTGGGCTACATAGAAGGGGTTAAAGGGAGGGTCCCTGGTAGGGGCTGAAGGGAGGAAATGGTGTAATTTCATTTTAATGAAACATGTATTTTAAGGGCATTTCTCTTCCTTTTTCCTGGTATAAGTAAATGGATTCACACAGAAGATGGTTGTGTGAGTTGCAGAGACCATCAACGAAGAGACACAGAGAAGGAGGTTGTGATATTGCTGAAATTTAACTCACAATATGATCTGTCCATGCCACAGTTAAGGCGATCTTTGGGGTAATGAGCCAGCTGGAGAAGAATCAGACTCGAAATATAATAACCCCAGGAGAGGAGGCC